CGATAATCTATTTATTATAATAATAATTTGCTCAAATAAAAACTGGTAACAAAAGAAGAAGTCCTAAATGAAAGCATGGTTTTGTCATTTAACATACAAGCTTGTGATGGTTCAGTGTTAGACCCGGGCAGATCTTTTATTCTCTACACATCTTTCTCTCCTGGAGCAAAATACAGATTATAATACTTGAATATCAAGTGCTATGAAGTTGTTATTGATCATACATTGCTTTGAAGATTGAAAGTGCTTTGTTTTTTGTTTATCATTCTACTTCTGAAATAAGAATTGTAAAGTACACAGTAGCTTTAAATACTTCAGCAAAGTTGCCTAAAGTTCTTTCTGGCCATATATAACCTCCCTTTTATAATCTTCTTTCTCTATAGGGTGAATCTACTGATTGTACTGATCTAAAAGAAAAAGCGTTAAGAGAGAAAATTGAAGCTTCAAATGCTGCCTCTCACTCTTCTGTCTTTGTCTCCTTGTATTATTTCCCTCCTTTGATCTTGAATGGAAAAATAGCAAGTTATATTTGTCTTATAGGAAAAATACAAGGTTTCTTAAGAGATCCCTTAGTTCATCCTGTTACCTTGCCTCTTAAAATCAAATTTATTTTTATAGAGAATTCTGTATTAGTGATACCCTACTGACCTGGCATTTGAAGCTGTATCATTAGTGGCTGAAATGGTAGACAAAATATGACCATTTGGGTTTGTTTCCAATGTGGCCATTCCTTTCCTATATAAGGACAAATACGATTTTTACATTGTAAAGAAATAAGCCTGCAGGCATCTTTTAGTTCCCCCTCTTCCATTGTTTTTAAATTGCCCTCACTGATTTCTGGGGAAGTCTTTCCTATTAGAGAAGTAAACTCTTGTTTCAATTCTGTCTGCTTAGCTACCCACGAGAGAGGAATAGGAGTGCTCATATTGGAGTTTTTCTTTAGGATTTGTGGAAAATGTGACACCTTGTCTTGCTATGAGGTTGTAGGGGTTTTTGACTTTACCATAATAGGGTTTTACACCTGTGAGGGAGAGGGGAGAATTACTGGAGTTTGCATTGCCTGAGGTTTCTCTCCTGTAACTTTTAAACATCCAAGCTTCCCACCTCAGTCAGGATGTTCAGAGCATCTAAAAAGGTGGCCTGAAGTATCTGACACTGTCTGACAGGATAAATAAAAATGTTTCAGACTAGGTAGTCTCTAAAGTAAGGTCTTAAAAGAGGAAATACAGACATGAGGTTAGTGGATAACTATATGTAAGGCATTGCTGTATCATGCACTGAAATATCTACTGTACTTTAACACACTAATGTGTTAATGATGTATTTAATAGCAAATTTCTTTTTAAAACAAGTTCTAATCATGGACATCTCTTTTTTTTTTTATCTTGCTATCATAATAGTTTGCTGCTTGATAATGTTTAGGGTCCTGTTTTCAACATGCCTCCAAAAATGGGTTGGTAGTAATCACAGATATACTGAAAATCATCAGGCAGAACCACCTGCAAGTCCTGTGGACAGAAGTGTTAATGTCTGGGTAAATAGCTTTTCTTTTGATTGTCCAGTTAATGTCCTTGTAAGGTAGAGACTGAAATGAAGTTCTGTAACAATGCTGTAAAAGAGTGTGCTTTGCAACTTTGTAAATACCAAATTTGATCTGGGAACACTTCTGATTTTGAATAAAATAGACATCTGAGAAGGTTTCTTACCATACAAACTAAGTCTGGACTGACCAAAAAAAAAAAAAAAAAAGGTTGTCAT